CATCTTATTCGAGTCCTATTTTATTAATGGAACTCTTATCCATAAAAGTAGTGGATTTTCCAATCCATAACACAAAGTCTAGATCTATGTCGTCAAGAACGATACAAACATTCTCTCTCTAGCCTTTAAAACTTTAGTTCAAACACATGAATTGAATTGATGTTAGCAAACATTACTGAGGTAGATGGATTAACCGAAATAGAGAATCTAAACCTAAATAACACGTTCACATGGAAAATCCGTATTGGACAATCAATAATTTCAAATAATGGTGGGCCTCATCACAAATGACCAAGCACAATGTTGATATTTAGTCTTTAGACAGAAATATCAACTTGTAAGTGATACTTTTGGTGTAGTAATCAAATATTAAGAATAAATTCGGTCAAACATCAAATCTATCTTTGAACCGACTCAATGTTTACATAATAAAAAACTTTACAATTGTCGCATATTTATCACCACGTGTATAAATAATTCTATCAAATGTTGACCTTCCTTTGGGCCAGTAAATATCTGCATGAATTATGTACACACAACCTTCATTATGTTCCAAATAAATTAATTTAGACAAGAGAAGTTATATACATACATATATATATATTAAAAAAACTACACAAACAGACGCTGCAACATCCACATCTGGGTGTCATGTGCTGCTTAGCGCTGTAATCGTTGCACTGCAACATTACGTGTAATACCCCAAACTTCCCGTTACACATTTGGATAATATGATTCACACATTTCATGATAATTACATTGTCATTTGCATCAATTTCCTAATTTCTCTCTCTTAAAATGGTGCATTCGATCATCGAGGCTTTAAAATCTTTACATGGTGATAATCTTCGACTCCTCAACCCAGGTGGTGAATTTTACATTGAGCTATGATAGAAAATTATGTTAACTAAATGTTGGAAATTGGTTTGGTAAGTAATGGAAAGTTGAGAAGGTTGGAAATTAGTATTGACAAGGGTTCAAGCTTTCCATTCGGCTGATTAATGTCACCTTAAACCCTAGATAGGTAATTGACATATTTGGGACATGAGGCATGAATTGAAATGATCAAAACATGATAATATATGTCTCATATGACTTTATAAATATTGAGATGCGAATTGTTGAAATCGGTTGACAATCGGGTAAGAAATTAAATGAACGGTTGAGGAATTAGCTTTATAATATATTTTGGGATCTTAGACCAAGTGAAATGGATTTTAAATACGTCAAAATAAGCCAAGGATACTTGATTTGTACCTACAAGGATAGATATAAAATCAGATTTTTACTATAAGTAACCACCTCATGCTTGAACTCCTCGTGCTTGGAATGTTTGTCACTTTAACACTCAATTTCTTCAACCTTAAGGCATCAATTTCGTGTCTACTCCCCAAGAACTTAATATAGGATGAATATATATCTTAAAAGTCACAAATGGATCCAAATATAATGGTTGAAAGTCAAGTATTGCCGCAAAGAAGACACATCATGCTTGGACAGCTCATGTTTAAGGATACTTGTCCTTTGTTCACATTTTTCTTCACCTTTAAGCAACATGCACGACCTCGACAACCTAAAGACCACTCATTTACCTCCTCAAAAATATATTAACTCCCATAGCTCTTCTTTAAGTGATTCCAAGTGAAAAAGAGAGTGAAATAGTCAAAGAGAAATAGAAACAAGAAGCTGGAATTTCTGAACAGCTTTGTTACTTCACGGTTTTTAGGTTTGTATCCATTATTTCTTAAGGGGTTTATAATTTCTTGAACATCTGAACTTGCTTATGATTAGGTTGGAGTTTTTTCAATGATTTTATGATGCCAACATAGGGGTAATTAATTACAAGAACTTGAGGGAAAACAACCTGGGCAGAGATGTAAGTTACTGGATTTGAGTAGTTTATACCTTGATTTTGGGATGATACTTAGTGTGTAACATATATATATCAATATGAACGTTTTATATGTAAGTATGAAGTGTATAAATTATTTTTAATGGCCTAGAATTCTATTGGTATCATACTAATAAAATGGAAACCGAAAACAGTCAAAGGGAAAAACTGCCCAATTTTGTGTATTGGAAAATGGATTGTTTTTGAAGCTCAAAACACTTCATTTGTCACAACCTTATGACCTGATTATCTTCAAATATATGTTATAGGTGTGTGGTAAAATTTTGGGAGCTGTTAAATGTAGGTAAGGGCATGAAAAAGAATTCGAAAAATGAGTGGACAGTGATGGAAACCTAGAAAACGAATTCTGTCCATTTGGGTACTTAATGTGATTTCAACATTTATATGTCCATTAATGAACTCTTGGCCTAGAAAATAGATTCTAAGGAGTACTAGGTTAATGAAAACAATTGGATGATGTTGACGTCTATAATTGGACTCGAAAAATAGCGAGACTTATGGGATTAGTTTGTAATGCTATCGGTAACTTGCAATAATGATTTCGTCTAAATTATTTTGGCATGAATGGACATATTTTGGGATTGTGTGTGTTAAGGATACTAAATGGAGGATTGTCTCTAATATTAGATGGTAATACAGGTGATTTTTTGACATTGAGCAAAAAAGGAAATTGATATACACTTCGTCGGAACTTGCACACTCAAGGCGAAAGGTAAGTAAAAATCCACTTCCAACTATGATGCAAGAACCTAATATTTGCCATATGGTAATATTGGAATATTTACATAACTTTACTAAGAGGCTTATAGCACATTATATGATGGTTATGATCGTTGAGTATGAGGTTGCGGAATCTATTGAGTATTGACATCGATTTTCATTAAATATGTCACAGTTTCATGTATGTGCACGACATGTGATCGTGGCTGAAAATCCTGCATGCAAAACATGATTTCAAAGTGAGTTTTCTTTATAAATGTTTTATTGACCACTACTAGAGCACCAAGGCATGTGAGACACGCTTATGTGATATGTTTGGCATCGTGGGTGATACTTCCTGGATGATTGCAAAGGTAGACACGGGATGGGCCTTTGGTGATCACGGGAGAATGGACCACTCGACTGTGTCCTTATGATATTATAATTATTGACTTTGTTGGGTGGGAGACTTCTTGGGTGATCATAGGGGTAGTTAGGGGTGGGCCTCTAGTGGTCACAAGAGGATGATCCACTCACCGGTTTAGATTTCATATTGGCCATTTGATTATTAATTTTGATATTATGCAGAGCTCTATCTGGTGCATAGTAGGTGGGTCAAGGGCCCAATAAAATGAAAGGTTTCAAATGAAATGATTTCGAGTCGACTTTGATCAATATTGGAATATGATGCTTCTTTATCGTGATATTTAAAGTAAATGGCATAGTGGCATATATTTTTATTATTCATATTCATGACATGCATGATTTTTGCTTACTAAGCATTAACTTATATAGTTCTTGCATTGTAGGTGAGCATGGAACTACATAGAGAGCACGGCTAGTTGTGGAGCTCTTACGAGATTCCAAAATTCGATGTACATGGATGACGACCTGTAAGGTTATTTTGTGGGTTGTTATTTTGCGCTTATGGCCAATTTTGTTGTATGTTGGGGATCTTGTGTTGTATATCTTTTGACATGGCATGTAGACATGTTTATAACTTCAAAAATAAATAAATAAATAAAATAAAATAAAATAAATATATATATATGTGTGTGTGTGTGTGTGTGTGTGTGTGATTTTGGGGATATAACAGACGCTGCAACATCCACCATCTGGGTGTCATGTGCTGCTTAGCGCTGTAATCGTGGCGCTGCAGCATTGCGGTGCTTTTATAATGTTGGAAATTTTTCTTTAGATCCAAAATATAGATACCTAGGGTTTGAAATTCACATCTGAATGTTTTTTAAATTAAATCTAATTACGAATTTCTACCCTAAAACTTTTTCTTTAATAATTTTGAATTTCAAAATTTATGGCTAAAATTCATATTCCAAATTAAAATATTCCAGAACTCAATATATGAACTTGAACTACAGAATTTTTCCTTTAATCCCAATGGTTTGACATGAAACCTGACTTTGATACCACTTGTTGAAATTTTATGGAACTTTAAAACTTAAAAACCTAAATCCCTTTATTGCCAAGATCCTCCATGTCAAATCACCAAGAAAATTAATTAATGTAGAACATACTTCAATTGCTTGAGAATGATTCTTTATGACTGGATCTTGAATCTTCAAAATAAACTTGGAATTCCTTCTTGATTGGTTTCTTGCTTTCAACCTTGAATTTCACATCATTGGATTTTTTTAATTCTTGTTCTTAGCTTTGCTTCTTGATCCATAATATTGATTCTTGAATTCAATCATCTTGATCCTTGATTGTAGATTGTATTTCTTGACTGTGAACTTTGAATTTTTCTTCTTCAATATGCATTCTTTCTAAATTCTTGTATTGATGGAATGACACAAAGAACGAGAAATTGCATATGAATTAGGGAACATAACCCTATATATAGTTTTCATATGTATTTCGCCATAATAAAATACAATTATAAAGGAATCCGATCTCTACACATATAATTCAATTCCCACTTTATTTGCAGGTCCTAAGTCCAATTACTTAATTCTTTATTTGATCACTTTAATTTTAGGCATAACTTTAAAATAGTCGTTATGCACAATTAAATACATATGTCGGCCCACATAGCAAAATTAATAATTTCCCAACATAATTAAAAACTAAAAAAAGTTGAATAATAGAGGATTGTTGCCCCCAAAAAAAAAAAATAAATAAAAAATAAAAATAACTCCTCTTGGGATGATAGCGTAGGATAGCATCAACAAGCTCATGAAATAGAGATAACTTCTATTTTCATTACAAGGCAAATGTACAAAAGAAGTTATTTTAATGTTTCATTTAGTACTACACACAATACGCAGGACCGGAGGACCAAGATGAAAACGTTAAAGACATTAGAAGAGATTCTCTCTTATTCCAACTGAAATGTCTCGGAAGGCTACTAGAGGTACTCTCCTGCAAGAAAAAAAAAAATTTGTTCAAAATCCAATTAAAAGAGCAAAAAGGAAATTCTTAGAGAATTATAGTATATACGGGCAAGAATTGAATGCTCTATTTACGAGTTAGAGATTATGACTTTAAGCATTTCATTTCCCATGTCTTGTTGTTCTTCCTGAATTTGCTTAGCAGATTCCTCGACAGATTTCGCACACCTATAGACCTCAATCTTCTGTAATGTTAGAATACCGCCAAAACTGGAAGGGATCATTTTCAAATAGCTACAATATTGCAATGCTACTTCAAGACTTGGGAAATTATCGCTTGAGGCATTCCATTCTTTGAGGTCTGCAGAGCTGAGTTTCAAGAATTTAAGTTTGGGGAATTCACTTGAGGCATTCCATGTCCTTCCATCAAAACAGACAAATCCTAATTTGAGAACCTCTAGGTTCAGCAATCCCCCAATTATCTCCATTTGCTCCGGAGAAATATGTAAACGAGCTAATGTCAATTTTTTTAGATTTAAGGGTAGAATGATAAGTCTGGAGCGTTGATAGTTCATAAAAAAATTCACTGAACTGAGTTGATTAAGAGAGTCAAAAGAATAATGGCGTTTAGTTGTCAATCCACATTTCACTCTGCGAAGATTGGTGCAGCATCTCAAAATTTTCTCATTTGTTTCATCGGAAATTATAATCACAAAAATACTTTGTATGTTATTACTTATTTGGAAGTTTTGCTCCTTAGTTGCTTGCCAATGAATAGATTCACTGAAGCGCCCACTGCCCTTGAAATGCATGTCTCAAACTCATCATAGCAAGAAGGACATCCGGTATTCAACTATATTTGAAGTTAAATTGTCCTCATAAAGAAATTCTAGTTTGTCGAAGCTTTCCATTGGTGGCGGTTCACATGAAATTGCGAAGTACCTCAAGTGAACCAGATTTTCAATTCCTATTACAATATGAACTCTACAGCTTCTGCGAAATTCCAAGGCACTAAGAACTTTGAAGCTGCTTGGGATTAAACTGGTCATCACACGATTATGACACCGAAGAGAGCGCATGTGTAGGCCAAAAGGCAGAGAGAACCTAGAATGGCTCTCAGATATACGGAGACTGTGGTGATGCTGATACATGCATACTTGACTCAAGAACAGTGGTGGATAATCATCGTCACTGATAACAACATATATATATATATATATATATATATATATATATATATTATGCTAAAAACAAAAATGGAAGAAAATAGAACAGTAAACTTACAATTTGAACACCTTCAAAAAGTTCTTTTCTTCACCTATTCTCAAGCACATTTCACGCAATAGATCATGAACCTTACAAGTTTTGACTTTTCTATCAAAGCTTTGTTTGGAAACAAGTACCAATCTCCTATCTAGTTGCATCAGATATTCTAGGGCCACATCCTCTAAGCATTTCTGATCTTCCTTCTTTATAAATCCTTCGGCTTTCTAAAGAGATATCAACTTTTGTATTGGGATTTCCTCATCTTCCTCAAATGCTCCAAAGTAAAGAAAACACTGTTTCAAATGGTTCGGTAAATGTTCATAGATAAGTTCCAATATCTTCATGAATTTGTTTGGGTTGTCTGATATATGTGAACTTAAATTTCTTGCAACTTCTTGCCACAAGTGTTCTTTCTTCTTCATGTTTGCAAGGACTGCAGCTATCCCAACCACCGCAAGTGGTAGGCCATGGCAACTTATTGCAATTTTCTTCCCAATGTTTAAAAATTCTTGAGGACAATTTTTATCTTCAAACATCTTCCTTTTTAATAATTTCCAACATTCAGCATCCGATAGAAAAGAAAGTGCATTTATAACACTATGAGGTGAAGCTTCTGAACCAACTTCTTTATATCGAGTGGTGAATAAGATTATGCTCCCAGTTTTATCATTTGGAAAATATCTTTTCAAATCTTTCCACACATTGATATCCCATATATCATCCATCACAATGAGGTACCGCAATTCTTTTAAGGTTTTGTAAAGTTTTTTCCCCAAACTTTCTTCCTTCATATATATAAATGTTTCTCTCTTATCGGGATCCATTGAGCTCAAAATCTCAATCAACAAAATTTTCTTTTTATATGTTTGAGAAACAACACACCAGGAACGCTTGTCAAAATGATTGACAATAGAGGGATCCTTATATAGTTTATTTGCTAAAGTGATCTTACCAAGTCCAGGCATAGCAAAGATGGAAATAATTTGCAGGTGGTCTAGTCCTCTAACAAGTTGTTCTAAAATTTCATTAGCCACTTTCTCAAACCCCACAACAATGTTTCCAAGAATAGGATATTTTGTAGATTGCGATGATACCTGTTCAACTGGATATTTTGCAACTTCTGGTATTCCAGCTGCATCAATACTGTTCTTCATGTCTTTGATAGCCATCTTAATAAGTTAAATCTTCTCAATGAGTTGAGGGAGCCTGAGGGTGAGATACCAAACATGTGGAAATGAGTTAATAACATATTCAACTTCATATGCTATGTCACTCATTTGTATCATAAGTTCTTCATGTTTTACTTCCTGCTGACCAGCCACATCGGTGACAGAAGATCGCAATGACATAAGCTCCTTATGGAGCGTTACAACTTGACCTTCAACACCAATTATCTTGTCAGGCTTGTTATTTATTTGGTCCATGAGATCATCAAGAACGGAATCAACAATGAAGAGTGAAACCATGGGAGTCTTTGGAGTCATATCACTTGACATCTTTGAAACTGCGATGCAGTGCAAGATCTTTGCTTTCAAGAGCTCAAACTTTGTTAACAAATTGGAAAGAGCAAGATCCCATTCTCCGCTCTCTGTAACCAAGAAAAACGATAGCGCTAAGCAACTTCCTACCTCCTGGACTAGAGCTTTGATATCCGTTATTTCTTTCTTCGTTACTTCCAACTTTATTCCTTTTTTCTTATTTCCGTCCTCCTCTTTAGTGGTCAGCAATGTTATATCCTCAATCAAGTTGAAAATTTTATTATGCAGCAAACTTCCTACATCATTGACCACAACTTCAAAATCCGTCATTACTTTTCCGGTTCCTTTCTTCATGGAAATAACCAAGAGAATAATGATGAAAAAGAAGAAATACAAGAAACGTCCTACCTGATTAACCATAGCCTCGATATCTGTCACTATATTCTTGTTGTGCTGCAAATGCATCGCATTATCCCCAAGAAAAGTCATAAGAAATCCAAGTTCGGTCTGGAGATTTTGGATGGAACCCTTTACACGAGCAATGGAACCAGCCTTAAAATATAGGATGACTTCTACCATTAGGAGGTGAAAGTTGATAAACGCTGCAACAACTATATTAGGATTGAGATTAAGACTAATATGGGACATGATTTGCTGGTTCGGGACTGTGAAGAACGCCTTGAGCTCTTGCCCAAATTCGATGTCCAGAATTCCCATTGGTTTAAGGTTCTCTAACGTATCAATTACATGTCCATGTCGGGATGACAACTTTAATATATGCTCAACCACAATTCTAATGAGGCAATTGTGCAAGGACACTCTACTCTTAGACTCCTCTGATGAGTTGCCGTATAAGTAGTTGTCCAGAGAATATACAGCGTAATACGATTCTTCCTCCTCAGATGACATTGACAATGGAAAATTGAAGGATTAATTCGAGTTTAAAGCATTAAAATTGAGTACCTTATTAGCTTTGAAGCGATGGAAATGAAGCTTGTAGCTAAGAAAATCAAATTAAAGCCAGAAAAAAGAAAGGAAAGGTAGACATAAGAAAGAAGAAGACTATAGCTTTGCAACTTGAATTCACACCCCCACCCCCCGCGCCAAGCCACATGTAATTTCAATAAGAATATTTGAAGAAATAAAATAAATATATTTTTTAGTTTTTTAAAATAAATAAGTATAGTTTTTTTTTTTTTTTTTGGTTTTTTTAAGTTGGCTCATGATTGTGATTTTGCATCTAAAAGAAGATTGGTTGTATACATTGGTTTGCTATTTTTCTTTCAAATATCATCGACAATGGATTGAGACACACGAGAGTATGGTGACTAATTTTTCCTAAAAATATGCATCTATGAAGTGCTGTCTTATGTCGCGTTGATTGCACTCACCAAATGCCCTGAGTATGAAGAATAGTCGCTAACTAATAACCTGACACATATTTTTTTTCTTTTTTATTAGAATGTAATAGCTCACATTTCATTAACTTAAATCGAACTACAGGCAACATAATCCAAGCTTTTGTAATTTAATTGTTATTAAATAACTTTTTCAAGTTAAATATTGAAATTATGAAATAGATTTACGTTTTTTAGAGAACTTTTTGTTACAAATACGATATGTCCATAACTAAGAACAAAAAAATAAAAAATTAAATTCAAGATTAGCAAAAATATAGAATATTTCAAGGAAATATAGACCTCCCCGATGATATTTCGAGGGAGGAATAGGCCTCGAGACAAACCATATGTGAAAATAATTCATCTACATATTATTTACAGATTTTACCTCTAAAAATATAGGCTTAAAACACATGATTCCATCAACTCCAAAACATAGTCCACTAACACATAACGTCGAATAATTAAAAATAAATAATAAATCATGGACATGACCCTTTTAACTACGTGGACAACTTTAAACTAGACATTAGATACAATACATCGTAAAAAATCAAAAGACTAATTAAATAAATAAATTTGTAACTAACTTCCACATGAAACTGTAAAATATTTGCTTTCAAGGTCATCATTCACTAGTTTGTAAACTTCTCCAATGTTGTGATCTATGAAATATTTTTATTTTAATCGAATGCATTGCACAAATTAACCTTTGGAAAAATTTAATCGGTGCGATTGTGGACGGGGACAGGATTAGTTGGAACGAAATCCTTTATTTTTATATTTAATTAGTGTGATTATGAAATATCCATTGCACGGTAGATTTCATATTTATTGTTACCCTATTACTACAATAAAGTCATGAGTACATGAAAAATTTAACAGAACTTGTACCGACGCTAAAGTGGCAAGATGTGATTGAACTATTTTTTTCCATCTTTCAATGATGTCATGCCATGTGTTGTTTGTAAGAATTTCCGTCATAACATTCTCTACTTGTAGCTACTATTATTATCCTTTTAATAAAGTGACTGGTGACCAAAGTACACAAAGTCTTCTCTCAATTAATATTCACG